GTGTGTGTGAGAGAGAGTGTGTGTGTGTGTGTGTTTGCTGTAGTTTGTGTTCAGAAGTGTCTCCAGAAGTGAGTGACAGTCTGCTCTTGAAGGAATCAGGAGATTCCTGAACTGGAGAAACTGTAATAGTAACCGTTAACACAGAGCATGTAAACGTGAGCATGGATTTCTCACAATAACCGTGTCTCTGGTGCACATGTAAACAAGCTAGACGTGTCATAGTAACTACCCAGGTAAAGAACAGTTTTCTTCTAGGCTTTGAGTCTGTATCTCAGTCCCGTTATGCTGTCTGTGTCATGAAGAGTCGAGTCCGTCTGTTTGTAATCCATGATCAGACAACACCCAATAATATGATTGACTGAACATTTAATATAGGTTAAGTCTAAACAGTAGATCTCGCTAGCAACACCAAGGTCATGGGTTTGATTCCCAGGGAATGCATGAACTATTATAAAAATATAGATTCAGTAGCTTGAGTGCAGTGTAAGTCGCTTTGGATCACAGCGTCTACCAAATGCATAAATGTCAGTTTAAGCATGAATTGTTCACGTCGAAGCTCTAGTCATCCAGATTCAGCTCCATCTACTCGAAAGAATCTGTGTTAATAATGTCAAATCAGGAATAAAATCAGACAGCAGTAGTATGATAAACTGTACTTCTTAAGCTCGAATCATCCAAGAACCCGTATTTTCAGGCAGCTGATGCACACGTATGTTAGATTCCTACAGCGTCATATCGAGTGTTACGACTGATTGACCCACTCATACATCAGCTCTGTGCTTATGACTCGCTTGATTTAAAACCATAGAGAACAAAACTGCTCCGTTCCAGTCGCTGCGTTATGGTTTGTCCTCGTGTTTTGTTTTCAGCATCTGAAGCACCAGCAGGAGGGTTTGAGTCACCTGATCAGCGTCATTAAAGACGACCTGGACGACATCAAGACGATTGAAGACGGGCTTCACGACAGCGTTCACGGACGCAGCAGCAAACTCAGCTGAAGCATTTACACTCATATACTCATTTACACACTTATTTTTACTTACGTGTGTGATTGTGTGCCTTCGATCAGCTGGAATGTTTTACTGTGTCTGTGATTGATTAATAAAGCGTCACTGTTTGAATTTCATGTGTTCAATTTAATGAGTGTTTGTGAAAGCACTGAAAATACCATCATCTTAACTAAAACCCAAGGAAGCGCTCAGATGTGTATAGATGTGTACAGCAGCTGCTCTTGAGGTTTGGAGGAGCGACACAGAAAGCGGTGTGTTGTTTGTGTTGTCCTCACTCGGGCGACGCCGGCGCGTCCGTCTCGGCTCTAGAATGCTCCACCAGGCGAAAGGCCTCCATGAACTCGTTGATGTCGATGCTGCCGTCCTTGTTGAAGTCGATGCTCTCGGCCAGATCTGAGATGGCTTTATCACTGATGTCCATCTGCAGGTGAGAGCTCAGCAGCTTCCACGTCTGACGAAACTCCTTGAACGAGATCAGACCTGAACACATCAAACTCATCTGAGAATGCATCTAACTGCACGTTTACGGTTTGATCTAGACTGAAGTTTAGCTAGGTTTCGTTTCTAACACCCATCACCGGTTATTAAGCAGCTCATACGGCTGATCTGATCACCTGAGTGGTCCGTGTCGATCATTCTGAAGATGCTCTCCAGGTTTGAATGATGTTTGTAGAGGGTCTCCAGGAGGCTCGTGTTCGTAATCTGACAGAATCAGATACACAGACCTTTTGGGTCATTGATGATCGGCTTTTGTAGTTATATGCATGGGTGTAAAAACATTTGGGGTGACAGTAGACTTAACATTTCTCAAGCAATTTTTGAAGGACGCGCACAGATGTTTTCCTTTAAGGCCAAAATGCTTTAAAATGGGGACTTTTTGTACTGGGCGTTTTGGTGCACTGAAAAATTATCTTATATCCGTTTTTCTTTTCTGTCATTTTATGTGGCCAACAACACAAAGGGATAGTTGTTTAAATATGAGTTATGCTCATAGGTTCAAATATCAACCATTGATTAGTAAATTACAAATTTCAACAGGCTAGTATTAATTAGTATGAATATATACTGATCTTTGTCATTTTGACAATTGATAATGTCAATATAAAATTATGCCCCATCCTTTGTGTTTCGTTTGAATTTTACTTCTTAAATTCAGCTCGACGTGTGCACTGAACCTTCTGGAAAATATTGTCTTGCTTGCCTGATAAAAATCCTGAAAGCGTATGAACCATGAGTGTCATGAGTGTGGTCTACGTTCGTCTCTAGCGGGCTGGTTTTCTCTGAGCTCACCTCGGTGTTGGGCTGCATGACGGAGAGCTGGTTGACCCAGTGCTGATAGTTGAGCGTCCCGTCCTGAGCGCTGTCGGTCACCAGCTGAGACCTCAGGACCCTCCAGGGCAGAGCCAGACGCAGAGCCTTCTCCACAGCTGCAGCCCAGTGCTTCACAGAGATCACACCTGAGACCGCACTGAGAGTTATTCACAGATACTTTGGTAAACATGCCAACAGATGCTCATTTAAGCTTCTCTTTTACATGACTAACTCTAACTGTAACCTGTTTCAGGTCTTGGAGCTTCTGCTAATGACCTGGGGTGCGTTTCTCAAAAGCTTTGTAAGCTTCAGTAGATTGTAGAACTATTGCCACTGATGGTCTCTCTGATAAACTTCGCTCACGATGCTTTTGAGAAGCACTGGACTGGTCAGTTTATTCAGGTGAGTTTGATTAGGGAGAACAAGGCTGGGAAATGCTCTTCTAAGGTGTGAAGAAAAAGGTGTTTGTGTGTAAATGTGCGTGTGTGTGAGAGAGAGAGAGAGAGTGTGTGTGTGTGTGTGTGTGAGTGAGTGAGTGAGTGCCAGTGTGCATGTGTGTGTAATGTATGTTTGGTACCTGTGCACTGTGGGTCGTATTCCTGAAACTCATGGATCAGGTCAGATTTGTGTGCAAACAGCTGCATCCTCAGAGCCTGCAATGCAGAAAGTTCTGTTCGTCCCACACTACACACACACACACACACACACACAATCCTGTTTTACACACATTTCCAACTAAATCTGATACAATCAGAAACAAAAATCTAATTTTAGACTGAGCCACACATGATTGGTGTTTCGAGTGGAGTTCAGCTATCACACACATTTATGTAGCTGTTGTTTTTGTGTGAAGGACTCCTCAAAACAAGTTTTCAATTTCACTTCTATGGACCGTGTGTGTGTGTGTGTGTGTGAGAGAGAGTGTGTGTGAGTGTGTGTGTGTGTGTGTGAGTGAGTGAGTGAGTGAGTGTGTGTGTGTGTGAGTGAGTGTGTGTGTGTGTTCACCTCTGTCTGAGTGTGAGCTCTCGTGTCGATCTGCTGGACTGAAACTGTTTGAAGTGAGGAATGAGGTCGGGACCCAAACGAATGTAAGCACCTCTGTTACTGCCAACGTCATAGTAATTAGAGGCTGAAAATATCGTCAAAACCTGCAAATGCAAAGTAATCAACCCTTCAGATCACTCCGTCAAACTCTACATGGATGGATGAGTGTAAATGTATGGATGGCTCACCCTGCCATTGTGGCAGAATTCATAACCTTCCTGCTTGCACTCATGAGATCTGATGAGCAGCTGCAGTTTGTGTGTGTCCAGCACTTTGTGTGTGACGTCCGGCCCCCAGTAACACCCGCCTCCTCGAACCTCGTTAGGGACACAACCGTTCTGAGACATCGGGTCACTCCACAGAACGTCCACTATCTGCAGAGTGTGTGTGAGACAAACCGCACTTGAACTCTTGAGTGCACATGATGTCTTAATACTCAAGGACAACACCTCAGGTCATATTTACACACTACATATTCTGACTGAGAAAAGTGCTGTCTTTTTGGACATGAATCTAAAGAAGCATGGAGGGAAACGTGTGCTGCTTAAGCACAACATTATTCACTGTCGGCATCAGCGATCAGCAGCTTTGGTCTTAAAGGTCCCTCAACGCTGCACATTTTGAATGCCTTAGGAATGTCAGAGCAATTTGATTACGGCAAATGACAACACAAGCCAAACACGATTACATCACATATTAAAAAATTCTAAACAACAACAACACATGCTGTCTGGTCCTTAGAGCACAGTAGACTACCTACACACACCAGCAAAAAAGTGCCATGGTATTTCCATGGTGTAGTTGATTTTATTCCATGGTAAAGCTGTGGTATTCTTTGAAGTAAATTATGGTAATCACTCAGTACCACTGTATATATTAAAGTACCATGATATTTCTGATACATCACTTTACCATGGTATTGCCACAGTCGTTTTTTCTAAGGTTTCCTAATTGTTTGGTCAAACTGCGATGAGACAGTTGTGTGTGTGTGTTTTCACTGTCATGATGCTCCAGTGAAGTTCAGTGGGTTTGTGTTTTCACCTGTTTCCATTCATTAGTGTCTGTCTCCAGAACCTCAGCAGGATCTGAGTCGGACGACAGACTGAGGCCGGCCAGGCGGCGTCTCTCTCGCAGCTCTTCCTCGACGGAGCGACTCGTCCGGCTGGACTCGGAGTGCACCGAATGCCGCGGCAGCTCCTGTCTGAGTCGCAGCGGTGTGCCGTGAGTCAGAGACTGAACTCTCCTCCGTCCCGTGCTGAGCTCGTCATCTCCGTCTGGGTCGAGAGCCGCTTCCTTCAGCCTCGCCGATGCTCCACTACTCTTCAGGGGCCTGAGAGCCGAAGCGAACTGAGGGGAAACAGCCCAGAAGAGAACGACTGACACACATGAAACAACAACACCCTCCACTGGATCTCATGCGATTGCTGAAGAGTAACGTACTCGGTGACGGTCCAGTTTGGCGATCACATTCAAGTCTGTCTTGTCAGAAATTCCTCCGTGTAGAATCAGAACTTTCTGGTCGATCACTGTGGCCAGCGGCAACCAGCTGAAGATCTTCTGCAGAAGTTTAAGAATCATTTTCCCATGAACCTGTGATGATATCAGAGAAAAACACTCAGTATCGCTCTTTCATGTCATGAAGATGACCGTTTGTGTTTGGAGTCATTTACTGCGAGTTCTTTCATCAGATAAAATAAGTGAAGATGTTAATATAGTTATCGTTATAGTTATTCTAGATGTGAACGGGCCATTACTGTCATTACTCTCTACATGTGTCTTGTTTTCTGTCAGCACTGCACAACAGATCGAGAGTTCAGTTAAAAACTGCATTCAGTTCCTGATCTTGTTATCTTGTAATTGTGTTTGTCCTGTCTGTTTAATATAGAGGGATTAAGTCAAATGGTATTAATGGCTAAAATACACTGTGTGGACAAAACTATTGTTAGATCTGACCAACAGGGGCTTTAAAGGGGTCATATGATGCGATTTGAAGTTTTGCTTTCTCTTTGGAGTGTTACAAGCTGATTGTGCATAGAATTGCATTCTAAATACATAGACATTAAAAAGAAGTTGGTCCCACTTTACAGCTGTAACAGCTTCCACCCTTCTGGGAAGGCTTTTTTCTGTTAGAGTAGAGCGTTTGCGAGGTCAGGCACTGATGTTGTACGAGAAGGCCTGGCTCTGTTCCAGTTCATCCCAAAGGTGGTCAGGTCAGGGTTCTGTGTGGGCCAGTCATGTTCTTCCACACCAAACTCGTCCAAACATGTCTTTATGTGCTTTCTGCACTGGGTCACAGTCATGCTGGAATAGAAAAGGGCCTTCCCCAAACTGATCACACAAAGCTGGAAGCATTGCATTGGCCAAAATATCCTGGTATGCTGAAGTGTTAAGATTTCCCTTCGCTGGAAGTAAGGTGCCAAGCCCAACCCCTGAAAACCAGCCCCATTCCATTATCCCTCCTCCACCAAACTCTTCAGTCAGCACAGTGTAGACCGGCAGGTCATGTTCTCCTGGCATCTGCCAAACCCAGACGCGCCCATCGGACCAAAAAGAGAAGCGTGACAGAACAAGTTTACACTGCTCCAGAGTCCAGTGTTGGCTGCTTTACTCCACTCAGGCATTGCTATTGGTGATGTGAGGCTCGCATGCAGCTGCCAGGCCATGGAAACCCATCCATAAAGCTCCTGCCGCACAGTTTTTGTGCTGATATTAATGTCAGTGGAAGTTTGGAGCTCTTCAGTTATGGAATCAGCAGAGCATTGGCGACTTTTAAGCACCTACTCCTCAGCACTCGGTGACCTACTCTGTGACTTTATGCAGCCTTCAGAGACGTAACAATTCACTCAACTTTTCAACAAGATGAAAAAAAATACCATCTAAACTTTACTAAAGACATTCAGTTCCCCTCAGAGATACATTCATATAAATTCCTAACCCCAGTTGTATCGCAATTCGTTTAACATCTCAAGCGACTTGAATCATCACATATTTTTATAAATTTTCAAGCGGCTTGGGGTGCATCGTTACATCGCTAGTGGTCTTCTTGCTGCTGTTCCTAAATGCTTCCATTTTCCAGTAATACCACTTACAGCTGACTGTGGAATATCACAAACTGACGTACTGCAAAGGTGGCGTTCTATCACAGTATCAGTGCTTGAATTCACTGAGCTCTTCAGAACAACACATTTTTTCACAAATGTTTGTAAATGCAGACTACATGGCTAGTGCTATGTCAATGGGTCTGAATGAAACATGACAACAATGTGCTAAATAAGGAAAAGTTTTGTGTCAAAACCATCCCCTTTCACACGGATCCGCAAACACCAGGCCAGGCCAGTAGTTGGCGATGCCACTTTCTAAAGAAACACTACAGGAATGTAACACACATACGCATTCATTTTTTTACACACCCCCAGTACATTGTTGTCTTGTAAATGAACAGCCAAAACACAAAAAGTTTTCAGTTTTTAGTTGAAAACAGTGTTATGTAAACAGGCCATCAGTCTGGAGTCCAAAAGTTTACAATAACCAAAGAGAGTGCATGTAACACGGAAATAATCTACTAAACAATGTTTGAATAGGGATTTCATGACCGTTCTTATTTGCTAATGCAGACAAACCTTCTGTGAATGTGTGAATGGACAGACGAGTGGAAGGTGTAAATCCTCTTAAGAGTAGGGGTGTTCAATCCTGCTGGAGGGCTGCAGAGTTTAGCTCTAATCCTAATTAAACGCATCCAAACCAGATAATGAAGTTTGGGGCCAGTTGGAGCTAAACTCTGCTGGACATTGGTCCTCCAGGAGCAGGATTGGATGCCCTGCCTTAGAGACGCATGGTGGATGGCTAGCTCACCTGATATTTCCCCAGAACTTCCTTAGTGAAGCCATACCTGCATGAAAAAAGATTTTCCATTTTAAAATGTAAATTCAGTTCTGTCAGATCCATTTCTATCTGAAATTGTTCCTCACAAATGCAAATGTAGGTGATTGATTCAATTTGATCCATAACATCTCCACCTCAGATTAACAATGTGGTCCTCATGGTTTCCTCTGTTCAGATGCACGTCATGCGGATACAGCAACAGGAACGCGAACAGAACCAACAGGATCTCTATGGACTCTTTCCCTCTGTCCACGAAATCACCGTTGAAGACATATGGCGTCTCCGCTGAGGGAAAACCATTCTAGTATAGAACAAAAATCAGTTACTGGCACATTCAAATTCAGTGAACTGTGGATAACAGAATTTTACTGACTTTGTAAAAGATCAAGAGCAGATCCTCAAGATGGCCGTGTAAGTCTCCTGCATGAGTAGCAAATAATTAAATTGCACTTTATTGGCACGTCACACCATAAGACAGCTTGAGAATGAGGAGTGAATGTGTTACTCACCACAGATGGTGATCTCTTTGTGTTTGCAGGTGCACACGTGACTGATGTTGGGCATCAAGCGCAGGAGCGTCCACGTCTTACCCAGCAGCTGCAGCACGTACCGCGCGTGAAGCTTCTGCAGAGAGAGATCTGCACTTAAACATGCGCAATCCTACAGCTTTCATTGACAGATGAGAGAGATGGATTCATTCACTGATTTTGTAATGTACATAAAGCTATTTTGCTGCTTTGATAGAAATGATCATACTTGTTTGTTTTTGAAGGCGTGCACCAGCTCTGTGACATTGGAGATGGTCAGTGGGAAGGAGAGATGCGGGCCGGTGTAGATGTCCAGAACCTCAATCTCCTTGTAACAGACGTGTCTCTCCCACTCCATGTCCTGAAACACGTCACTCTCGCCAAACATATGAGATACGAGATTCCCTGAGGGAGACCGATGCAGAGAGGGCCAGTGTGAATCTGTTTAGTTACACTGATCACTTAATGAGATGAGACACAGTTGAAGAACTTGAGAGTTTCTTACTTTGGCTGTTGGCAGAACTGAAATGATCCATCAGGTAACCGAAGAAATTATACAGCTGCAGAGGCACAAACAGCATGAGCGTGTTTTATGTGTAAAGATCAAAAAGAGGCAGGAAACCAATATTAACCAGACTGCAATAACAGGCCTCAGATGTCAAGTCTCTGTGACTGTAAGTCTGTGCTTCATTACTGCTGGAGAGACATCAGTGTTGTTTCACCTTGATATGATCCTGTTGTCCAGAATACTCTATAGACTGAAAGATGTTCCAGGTGCAGCGGCGTCTCATCTCCAGCTGCGCCACATACTGACGATACCAGCGCTGGATGAGCAGCGCCGCCCGCATCGCTAGACAGCGAGTCAGAGAGACGAGAGACAGACAGACAGACAGACAGACAGACAGACAGAGAGACGAGAGGCAGACAGACAGACAGAGAGACAGACAGAGAGACGAGAGACAGACAGACAGACAGAGACACAGAGACGAGAGACAGACAGACAGAGAGAC